GCCGCTTGGCCCCGCCCCCAGATTGGCCGCCCGAGCCACCGTCCGTACAGCCCCTCCCCGCACGGCCAGGCGAAGCCGAGCCGGCCGTGCGGTGTGTATGTGTTCGCGGGGCGCCGTCTCAGCCCCGGGAAGATGGTGGCGGCGGCGCCGGCGACTGAGGCGAGGCTGAGGAGGACGGCGGCGACGGCAGCGCCCACGGGCAGGAACGGCGAGCGGCGCCGGGATCGGGGCGCGATCGGGACTGGGAGGCTGGGGTTGGGGTCCGGGCTGCGCCTCCCGCGGCTGCTGCCGCCGCTGCTACTGCCGCTGCTGCTCCCGTCGTTGCTGTTGCTGCCCTGGGCTGCCGAGGCCGCGGCGGCAGCTGCGGTGGTGTCGGGCTCTGCTGCAGCCGAGGCCAAAGAATGTGACCGGCCCTGTGTCAACGGCGGCCGCTGCAACCCTGGCACCGGCCAGTGCGTCTGCCCCGCCGGCTGGGTGGGCGAGCAGTGCCAGCACTGCGGGGGCCGATTCAGGTGAGTGGGGGTGGTGGTGCTGCTGTGGGAAGGTCGGGCCCAGGGGGAGCAGGAGCCGCCGGGCGCTCGAGGTTATCTCCAGGCCGGAGACGAATGCCGGACAGAAAGTGGGGAGTATAGGGCCGCCCCCCACTGTTTGAGACCATTTGCTTCGGGGCAAATCATCGTCTCTGCCCTGGGGTCTTATTGTACTGGAAGATGGAAAGCTGCAAGACAAGGATAGGAGCAACCCAAAGGTGTTCGGCTTGGGTGCGGTGGGCTACAAGGGAAGAAAGCTTAGGGTCCCAAAGAGTATCAGAGCTAGTGTCTGAAACTAGGCCTATGTCGGATAAAAAGTATGAAAGGGGAGCGAGCCACTCTTACTTAAAATACTTCGTTTTTACATCCCCTTGTTCCCTAGGACCTGGTGAGTTTCCCGACCTATTGGAGATTGTGGGTACTCTGAAGGAACAAGGCCCTGGAATTGATTTGTGGGGTGGAGATAAAAGGGAAAGGCTAGGATTGTGAGTGAGATACTGGCCTTGGAGAAACCAGTGGTGGTTAAAGGAAATTGAGGAAACTAGCCTTTTGCTCCGTGGAGGTGGCAGATAGGAACAGGAGAGGCATTGAAGGAGGTTCCTCTTTGCTCAGGTTTCTGGAGAATATGGAATTCTGAGTTGGCCTGGTACAGGGCAGTACTTGGGGCGATCATTCATTAGTTAATTAGTAGTTATCTATTACTTGCTTCAGTTGTGCAACAATATCCAGATAATACACAGAAACAAATAGATTAGCCAGACTTTGGCCTATTGCACCAGGAGTTTGGAATATAGCAGGAGAAAGATTCGCACAGAAATAACCCTGGCTATAAGGGCTACAAATTCATTTTTGCCTATGACAGGTGTTACTGAGCACCTTTGATACTAGATATGGAGGAGTGGGGAAATATGGAGAACAAGACAGGCACCTTGTTCTCATGGATCTTACTTCCTAGTGGGGGGAAGCAGGCAGTTTCCAAATAAATAAATAAGTGAAAGAAATGAGCCAAATAATTTCAAAAATTAAAGGGGGATAGTCTGATAGAGAGTTATAACCTGTGGGTAACTTTAGAAGACGCTTCTCCTTTGAAATGACATTTGATCTGAGACCTGAATGAGGCAACAGAGAGCCTGTGGAGATTTCAGGGGTGGAGAAGTTGTAACTGGCCCGGGAGATGCCAGGAAGACTGTGAGGAAAAGGTGACACTGGATTTGAACAGTAGAGGTAAGTAGCATTTAGAAATGTGGAGTTGGGGAGAAATTCCAGCTGGAAGGAAGGATGCAAACAAAATCATGGAAACCAGAAAGTAAAGTATTTCTATGGAAGGCTATATGAAAGAATGTTTTCAGAGAGAACTTTGGAATGGTAATGTCAGGGGAGCTCAGAACATTGAGATGAGCTTTTTATTATTATGGATCAAGAAACCAAGTGATTTCTTGATCCAGGTGTAGTGGAACTTAGTCTTGCAACTTCACTTGGTGAAGGTTATTCTTGGTTAGGTTGAGTGGTAAACAACACACAGTCCTGCTCTCGTAGACCTTGCATTCTAGCTGGGGAGTAAGAAACCCAGTAATCAGTTTCTTATGGCATTGTTTAATGCTGTGGAGGTAAAGAGCAGGAGACAGTGGGACTTTACTGAGTTTGGAGTGGTTAGGTTAGTGACTGAATAAGTGACTTTTGAGCTGAGAGCTGAGGGATGAGATGGCATTACCTGCTTGAGGGGTTGAGTGCTGAGGGGGCAACACGTATACAGGTGTGGTGATGAGAAGGATCTTGGCAGGCTGGGTAGCAGGGCAAGTGGCTGGAGAAGAGAGAGCAAAGAAGGACATGGCAAAACTAGATGTATGGACTGGGGCCGTGCCTCAGAAATTTGACCTTTAGTCCATGAGCAGTGGCATGACACAGTTTATTCTCCTTTTTACAACATCTCCTTATAGAGTGGAGCCAGTGCAGGACTGGCCTTGCAGATGAGGCATTTTGAATTTGAGGAGATTCTTAGAACAAGCGAATGGATGGTTGAGTCAAGATGAGAGTCCTTTCAAGTTCTGAAAGTCTGGGATGCAGTGGTAGGCAGTAGGGGCCTATAAAAAGGAGAGGAACAGTCATAGCAAGACATCACAGACATAGTTTGTCTGTGATGTCCAGCGTAGTTAGACTCATGTTAAATATGAGATGGTGAACAGGTAGGTGGGAACTGTTGGCATGGGTCAGGAAGCAGGGATAGATACTAGACAGTACTGTGAGGGATTAGTCAGATCTTTGAACTGGTGTGCTGTTGAGGGGGGAGGGCGGCGATGAGAAAAAGAAAACTAGATCCTATCTTCAGTGACTGTGAGGGTGCAGATACTATTAACAGACACCAGTGCACAGAAGGAGCAGATCTGAGATTAATTTTGTACACACTGAAATTGGGGTGCTGTCAGGGTATCTACTTGGCAGGACAGGTGTTAAGTGTTGGCATCACCTACATAGGAGGGAGATTGCCAGGGAGGGAGAAACAGGTCTGAGTGTCTGCACGGACAGTCCCCAGGGTTGGAGAAGAGCCACTTGTTGCGGGGAACAGGCAGTCCTGACACTGGCTGTCTCAGGTGGTGTCATGAGTGAGTGAAGGGGCTCCCCTGATTACTGGGAGCGTTCCATTTGAGCCAGTTTGAGTTAGTGTCAGTGCTCTTTCCCGGACAAACAGTTACAACTTTGATCCTGATGATGAAATGTTGTGTGCTTCTGGAATTTTCTTTTCAAAAAATGAAAGTGAGACAAATTTATGTCTCTAGTCTTTTTTTTTAAAGCTTTATCACATTTTTAGTTGAATTTTGTAAAGAAAGACAAATGTTGATTTTGATTATAGTAGTATATACCTTGATTTACTCACAGACCTCTTGTTATTAAGCTAAGAGACATTAAACCGAATACCTTTCTTGTTTGGAAAGACATCGAATAGGTGCGTTTTTTAGAGCTTTTTGGTTCCATAAATCCTGTGTTATATAATTGCTGCTATAAGGTCTTTTTGCTAGTCGAAAGAAATGTAGGATCAGATTTCACTAAATTTATCACTGGTGGTGTACTCCAGACCAGGAAGCTGGTCGAACATCTTCATATACATTGTGCCATTTAATTTTGGACAACTCTGAGGATATATAAAATTTGGATTATTGTGTAGTTGTAGATCACTTGACTATCACTTATTTTTTTCCAAAATGATAGATACCACAGAAATGATTGATTATAGAAGATAACATTAATGGTATCAGTTTAATAAAAATAACTGTAGAATCTCTGATGGATGATTCCTCATGATGGCTGCTTTCATTCATTTTGATCTGAATCTTCCTAATTTAGTCATCATGTTTTTTTTTTCTCTTTGTGACATCACCATTGAAATTTTTCTTCAGAGGATAGACATGCCAAGTTAGAGAATAAAGAGAATATCAAGCCCATTTGTGAAATTAACATGCATTTATTGATAATTCTTTTCAGTTCCTGCTATACAAAACTTTTGGGAGGATAGAATAGAGCAAGCTCGTGAATCAGAGCCCATACATTGATGCTTACTTTCTATGAAAAGCAGAAGGCATTTTTTAGTGTGTTTTGTGTCCACCACTTGCAGTCATAGTAGTATACCTCATCATAATTCCATTCCTCTAGCATTTCCCCTTTTTTGCAGGTGTTATATCTAGTGCCTTTTAGAAATCTCCTTTTTATTCCTTCGAATGACTCTAAGTAGTCTCATTTCACAAATAAGTAAACTGACTCTTGGAGAAACTGAAGCCCAAGGTCCCATACTTGTGAAAAATTGGGATTTGAACTCAGGCCTTATCTCATTCCCAAACCCATGCTTTCCGTTGTACCATTTGTCTTACATTTATTCGCAGTCCGTTTTCGCCCTCTATGAACATTCTTTGGAAGGGCTGACCTATTTCTAACGAACACTCTGAGATACACAGGAGGGAAAATAGGTTTGTCACAACACCAAAGCTGGCATTAAAACAAATCACCTGAACCTGTCTGGCTGCTGGACTGAGTATATCAATGCCTTCCTAACTAGCAAAGTGAAAATTCTGGAAAATAATTCAAGAAATACAAAAAGGGAAACATTTTTCTTATAGTAAGTACTAAGTAGTACAAACCTGAATTAGTTACTAATGAGAATCAGCCTAAATTTATGTTCATGAATAAAATTTAGACTTTGTATATTCCCCAGTAGAATATAATTTCCACGAGGGCAGGAATTTTTATCTGTTTTGTATTTTTTTTCACTGTTGTAATCCCAGAGCCTCCATCAGTGCCTGGGGCAGAGTGCACAAAACCTATTTATGGAATAAAGGAATGAAATTCTGCAATACGTTTTGACATTAAAAGCTATCTTTATCTAAATGACTTCCATATCTGTCATGTCTTCTCCTGTTTACTGTACATCTTTATTGGACATTTATTGGCATGTTTTATTAGAATAAAACATTCATTAGAGTGTTTTACTGACACCCCATTTTGAGCCGTGTTTAGGACCAATCTTCTTATCTTAAAGATGGTCTTTTCCTTTGTCCTTCCTAATTTCAGTTGCAGGTCGTACTCAATCACTAAAGGTAACATTTAGGAATAATCCTTGGTTCCTTCTGTTATTCTTTCTTCTCCAGTGTCTTGATGAATTTGCCCTCAACTTTCCATTCTTCCTGTTGTCCTAGTGCATCTGACCCTTCACCTCATTGCTGAGATGCCTTTTTGTGCCTTAACTGGTCTTTTCCACATCCACAGGCCATTGTACCCTTTGTCATATAAATTCCCTGAAAACACATGTTGTGTCACCGTCTTGCTTAGAAACTATTTAGAAACTACTATTACTGTCTTAAAGTGACCCTTAGCAGAAGGCTTCTGCTCCTCACACCCACCCCATTTTTTCCTAATCAAATCCACCTATTTTATAGTTTTTCTGCAGATTTGCTCAACTCAGCACCCTTCTCCCAGCCTTCTCTTCTTCCTTTTCC